CCCCCCCCCCCCCCCCCCCTCCTTAAAGAAAAAACGGCTAGGCAGCATCAGAAGCGGATATACTGAAAAAGACAGTAGTGGTACGTCACTCAACGGGTATGAAGTAAATGACGGAAAAAACGAAAGAAGACATGGCGCTGCCTTGTCGAGTTGTTTTCCTGAACAAGGCAAAAGGAAAAACTCTGGGATCAACGACAGATAACTACGATGATTGTCATGTGGACGCCACGAGGGGCGACAAAACCAGCGGAATCAACCAACCTTGAATCTTCGCTGTCCCAAATAAATACTCCCAGCTATCTCCATACAACGGGTGCTGATGCTATCTCGATCGGTGCGCCTTCCCGATGCCCAGCAAGCCGTCTATCCCCGTGTTCACCAACCCCAAGATGTTGTAAACCCCACCCACCACCCCGCACGCCCCCGTGAGAAATGCTAGGAAGCCTTTTCTCTTCTCCTCGACTAACGCCTGCACAGGGGAAACCTCGTAATAGAAGTACACTCCCGGCAGCCCTCGAGAAGTTCCTGTTCGAGCAACGGAAGAGAACAGAACAAAACATCATGCTGATCGACAAATGTGCGGGTGAAGAGAAGACACTGCGACAAATATCAAGATATGTAGCAGGTTGGGCGACCTCAGGTCAGCACGGGCCATGACAAGTGCAAGGAGTGGGACGGAGGGTGGGTGGGTGGGTAAACCGATGCGTTGATCCCACCGATGGACCACCTGCGCTGAGGAGAGGTACTCAGAGCACCAGGCTTGAGTGACCAATCACCTCTAGAGTGTTTGGTCTTTTCCTCATGTTCTTGTTTTACAATGTCTCGTGAGAAGGAGAAGGCGGTCATGGCGGCACACAAATGGTCGTGATTTCGACATCAAGGGGAACAATAAGAACAGCAACGACAACGCCCTTTTACCGTCGTGCACGTGCTTGAGGTGTTCCGTGGCGGAGTACTGGTTGCTGTGCACGGTTTCCCCGTTGTCCAGACGGTAAACAGTAGGCACCAGCTGCAAGAAGTACTGTAATGCCGGTTCGTTTCGAATCGTGCCGAGAAAGCGGGAAAAAAAAAAAGGATGCAAAGTCAGGGCGTGTGGTCCAGACATGGTGATGCAAACAGACGAACAAGGTCCAAGATCACATTTGAAGCAGCTCAAGAACGCCGAAAGGTATGGCGAAGAGCGAGAAAATCAGCTTAAGGTGAGCACGGCACTGGCATGGACCTCGTTCGGAATCCACGTGCGAGACCGACCCGAATACAGACGACTAAACGGACCTGACGCGGCGGAGTAGTTTTGGATAAGGCAGCCAGTACAGAGATGGAGAGAGGTGTGTCTGGGGAACGAGGTGCCCCAATGATACTTACTGCTCTCACCACGCTGTCACGACAAGGAGATTGGCAAGGATCAACCCAGTTGAGCACACAAAGCAACATGCATCGCTGGTAGTCCTCTGAATGCCGCCTCCAACAGTAGCCCCCAAGAGGCTTAGGCGAGGATAGGAAAAATAATGGCACTTCTTGAGTCGGACACCCGGCGGCATTCCTATGCTGTCCCTGGTCTACCTCCGAGAGAAAAACAATGCAACCCATGAGAATGGAATCACCCAACACCCCAAGCAAAATCATAAAATGGCACAAAACATCAATGGACATGGTTCCGATGTGGTTCCACGGCCTCCTCGCACCGCGAACAATGTCCAACTTATCTCTCTCTCTCTCTCTCTCTCTCTCTCTCTCTGCGTATCTCTGTGAGTTTGACTTGTCTATCTCTGTCTTAGTCTTTCTCTCTCGGTACATCTGTCGGTGTGCGCGCCTTTCCCTCTCTCTGTGTTTGCCTCACTCTTTCCCTCTTCTCGGTGACCGTCTCTTCTAACCTGGTGCATGGCGTGGGTGTCCTGAACGGTTTTCTGGTGCCCCTCAAGCACCGTCGAGGCAACCACGTGCTTGGGGGAGGCGTGTCCAGGAGGGGGTTGATCTCCGAATGTCAAAGTGTTGATGGTGTGGGTAGTGTTGAAAGACTCCAGCGCCACCTGGAGGTAAGGACAAGATACACGCCCAATGTCAACCACGCGAAACCCAATTGACGCGAACATTCGAAGAAAAAGATGGCGTTGTCTTCTTTGTTTAGAACCCCTTGGGTCCACACAGCTTAGACACAGGCCGCCGCTCTCGTACCAAAAAAACTAAACTGATGAAGAGGTAAGTAGTAACAGACAGAAGGCACGCCCCATTCCGACATGCCGTGTTTCATTGCGTATGAATATGAACGAGGCACAGGAGTGCACAACGCTGAGTCGTGCACGTGTTACACTCGTGTCCCTGAAAGCGGTCCACGAACGGCATGGCCAGAATTAGTTTGCCCCACAGCACTCACACAGAGTCAGAATCAGAGCATGGGCGTGACACATTGACACGATTATACGTGACTCGCCGCACACGATGTGATGAACTTAATGCTGACAACGGGACATGAACACATGGAAAAGGCCAACTCCTCCGCATGTTCGTAACGTCATGTACAACGTACAAAATGTCCATAAGAAATCAGACCACAAAGCCCATGGGCGGAATCATCCAAATTACAAACTCACAGTAGTGGTCTTCACCGGATGCTGTACTTTCCTTACCTGAATCCGGACACGGAAATGTCTATGGATCCAACCATTTACACTACATCTTGGTACGTTCTTAGATCTTACCTGAATCCGGTCCACGAACGACAATTCATTGGCGTGTCGGTGCAACCGGTGCCCGGGAGCGAAGTGGAAGTTCCCTTGTGTTCTGGACACCTGACAAAAAATGAGAAAAAAACACCTTCGATACATACGCACACGCAGCAGAACTTTGGGCACACAGTCAAGAGCATGTCCCCCTTCCGTGAGGTTTCGGTAGAGCTCGTCCTTTCTGAGGAGTTAAGGTGGTATACTACGCCAATCACACTAAGGTGCCGCTTGTTTGTCGTCCTTCACACTAACACCCCGCCGCACCTCGAGATGTCCCGCTAGCCGGCAGCCTTCGTTTTCCACGGGAGGTGACTCAATGGTGCTTGCGGTATTAGCTCTTAGCGCTTCACCGTCGCACTGTAGGTTTGTTGTTTGTTGCGAGAAGCGGAGGCACGGTTAGTCCATGCTGAGAGCGAGGCCGAAGTAGGTAAAAACGCTGGTTGACGTAAGATATCACACCCCCTGGTCCGAAACTCGGTTACTCTACGACGAAAGAGGATGGATACAGTAGATCAAACGATCCGCTATTGGAAGGACCTCGACGAGGCGGTTTCAGCGCCGCCAATATTGCGGCACCATCAGTCTTTCCGCTCCTGTGGAGTAATCAATCAAGCTTTGAAATAATCGGTCCAGGGTATGTGATATCTTACGTCACATACGGTCGTACAGGCTGTCACATACGGTAAATAATAGAGGCCGCCGCCTTTCGGAGCCCCAAACAGACGGGATCGACAGTGCAGCACCACCGGGGCCAGCGACAGACAACCCCAAGAACCAAAACAATACACTGGGACGGCGACAGACAACCCCAAGAACCGAGAAGTGATGACAAGGGTTGCGAATGTAGCGGCTGCCATGTGGCCCCCTCCGAGTAACCAGGTCCACACGTGCCGGTCTCTACACCTTGTCCAGGCACTCGTACGTACGAGCGATGCAGTAATCACAGCGGCAAGGGGCGAAACAGTCGCGTGTAGATACCCCAACCGAGGGCAAGCCCTTGGTCGAGTGCAGCGATGAAGCGACACAACTCAATACAATCGAGGGCCCGCTGCAAATAAAATAAGCCACATCAGTCGCGTCTTCCTCAAAGTTTCACTCACACTCAGGCCTTCAATCGGGAGCACTTACGGCTGGAATTTCGGCGGGGTTAAGCCTCCAGCCCTTCCGGCGATACGCCTTTCGCACGTCCTCGCAAGTCCGGCAGCACTCCCCCTCCGCCCCGGCGCCGTAGCAGTTGCACCCCTCCTCTTGGCCAGCGGTGGCGGTGCTTCCCAAAGCACGACAACGAAAAATGCAGCACATGGCGTGGCAATTGAGGTAATGTGGTGGTCCGGCCCTCGGTGCTACAGTCGAGCGTTAAGTCGTTCGAAAGATGCACCGCCGAGAAAATGAAGACGGGAACGCGGTAAAGATTGCACGGCAGTACATCCTTCCTCCTCTTTAGACTCGTGGATTGCGCGCCGTTTACAGCCATCACAAATCGTTCGCGTTTTAGGCTTGAAAACATCAGAGTGCAGCGGATGGTAACTTTGCCTGCATTTCTTCTGCCAAGCGATCGTGCCCTGAGGAACATGACGCCGAGGGGAAGATCAGGGTAGACTTGTGCATCATCCTTGCGTGGAGGGACTGCACTGATTCTCGTGACTCGGCATTTGCGGTCTGTGCTGCTCGTGGAAGGCCACCAGAGGAAGACAGCTCCGACACAAGACGTTTTGCTTAGACTAGCGACACAGAAAGGCAACAGGAAGAAACGTTCCAACATAATTCTACTCGAGTTGCCAACTAGCTGTGCAGCTCAGCTCGGTGGGTTTTTGACTTTTCACCACATCTCGAGGTGTGTGTGCCAGTGGCCCTTTTGGGTGTGTAGTTGTAGTTGGATTGTGAGCACGGCAGATGTCCGCGTCAGTCTGGCGTGCGGATGTTAAACGGTGTAGAGACCGCAATGGCCAGTTATTGTGGTGAAGGCAACAATCAAAACAACAATGACAAAGAGCCGTGGCGTTTTCTGCCTGTCGACTCACTCTTTGAGTGCCCTCTGTTCGACGTCGCCATCGCCACGTTCGCCAGCTCTGCTCTTGCTGTCTAGATCTTCATCCCCGGGGGAAGCGTCGGCCTCGGCCTGCTTCTCTTCTTCCTTAGCGATGACCGCTTTTAGGGTGTTCCCCATCTCGTGCTTCTCGCCGTCGTCTGTTGCAAGACACAGGAAAAAGAACAAAACACAGTACTTGTGGCTAAGTTGAACATGATATTGCTCTTGACAAGAAGGCGGGGTGGGGAGGTCACTGGAGATATCCGAGTTCGAGATACGCATGTCCTAGACGGCAGTGCATGATAATCCTGTTGCCTACGACATGATGCCTCATCACGTGCGTTCCCCGTTGAGCATGTAACCTTGTTCCCCCCTCCGAAACAAAACAAAAAAGCAGCCTGCTCGCCAAACACGAGACTGCTATATACTTCGTGTGTGCTGGAGCTTAAGATAGATACTGGGAGGTTTCCAGCTTGGTGGGAATTTTCGTCTTGAGCGTCAGTAGTTTTCCAGAATCCCGACCGGGTAAGGCTTGTGCGATAAATAGCGCTGTTATGGCAACATGTGACCGAACATCAGTCTGTTTTCCTGTTGAAGCTTGAACTTGAATCTGTGGCTCACTTGTTAAGTTCCGCTTGGTTATTTGTCCATTCACGATGCAAAGCCACGGGGCACTACTAGACTCTTTACCGTTACCATGAAATGGCTCAACAAAAGAACGATCTGGTGGTACAACGGCGAAGTCGTCCACATCAAGCCTGCTACATACAGTATCATCATGTGTTGCTCTTCCCGCAGAGGTTAGGGCATTGGCTTCACGCCTCAAAATCCTGAAGGTGGACGGAGTCCCGATACAAGCCATCCCTTTCCACTTTCGTGCTCTGAAAATCTGAATTGTAAATGTCGAGCACCATTCCTAAATAGAGCCAGTTCCATATACCATGGATCATATCGTGATGGCGGCGTTCTTGCGGGGGTCAGCGATTTTGGGGGCACTGGAAACCAAAAAATTAATTGTTGGTCCCCCTTCATCATTTGCTACGTGGAGACAGAATCAAACCCGAGCCTTCTGTCACCGAAACCAGACGCCACTTCGTCGACGCCATTGCGAAGGAACAACCATTGACGGATCCAACGGAGATGCAACCTGTCAAAAGGACGTCTCCACACGTCTCGATCTCGACATGTCTCACCCAAAGCGCGTCCAATGGAGTCTAGCCTTGTCCTCGTCACGTCGTGACGCAAGTCCTTCTGAGGTATGCCCAGCGCGTCTTCCGCATCCAGCGACAGAAATCCGCACGGTATCCGGGCGAAGACCACGTCGAACCTGCCGCCACGTCAACATCCACAACAATTGCGAGAATCATGCGGATCGCAAGGTTATGTTGCGACTCTCATGGTGGTGCGTTGTGGCGTTGTGGCGGCGGATTTTTTTTTCTTCTAGAATAGTGTTGGGTGTCGCCATGTGTAGTTGTCATGCCGTGGTTATCCCACTGCTACTACTACTACTACTACTACTACTACTACTATTAGTAGTCAACACGAACGGCAACAAACCTCTGCTTCACGTGCGTGACACGTGAGGTGGGACTTGTGGTTCCCAGTAAGGCGACGATTCGCATGATACAGCTATCTTCGCTCAATGATCATGCGGTGCGGTACAGCCGTGGTCTCGTTGTCTTATCGTCCTGCATCAGCTGGCACCTGTTTTCGAGCCTGGTCGCCAACAACGTGCTTGCTGACGCAGCTGCGGGAACCCAATTGACCAAGAATTTTCATCATGGCGTGGGCAACTAACTCAGCACCGTACTCCGAGTTATCCCGCTTCCTTCTTCGGCGACTTCTGCTCCATTCTTAAGGTCTGTCACAGAAAAGCTTTAGCTCAATCAACCGAGACTAGTATACCATCTGCTGCTCATGCAGGATGACAGGGTGAAGCTACAATCAATAACCCGAGACTCGTATATGACCTGCTGCTGCTTCAGGATGACCGAGTAAAGCTATCACTCAACCAACTGAGGGTGAACGATACTTTGCACAACTCACGTGACGTTGACGGTGGGGTTGATGGTCGAGTTGACGAAGAGATTCTCGACGGTCTCCCTCTTCATGGAGAAAACGAGCTCCCGCCAAGTCAGCACCAAGACTGCACCGACCAGCACAATCGTCACCATCGCGCCGTGCACCGTCGCCCGCTGAAACTCGCGCTTTGGTCTTTGGAATGAGTGCCAGCAGGAGGCAGCGGGAACGGCAGCCGAAGCAGGATTGGAGGTTGCACGAATGTAAGGGAATGCACACGAGCGAGGAAATGACGACTTCGTAATACACGAGTTGGAGCAGAACTCTGTTGTCGAGGAGGAATACGGATGAGTAGTCTACCAAATGCTGTAGAAGTAGTATTAATGCTGTTTCTGCTTCTGCGTATGACCGAATGACCCCCTTGGCCCCGGCGGACGCGTCGTGGGGATAGGCAGCAGCATTGTTTCACAAAATAGCAGGTATTCGGGGGGGGTAAAGGCAAACCTACACGAGTCCTCTATCGTGCCAGAGTCGTCCTGAGAGCACAGCAAAGTCTACACGCAATGACGTTGGTTAGGCGGGGACGTTAGCGAGAGCAACGGCACAAAGTTCTGTATTAGAAAAACTGCTGTTGGACCTCCTGCAGGTAGGAGGAGGTTCACAGCAGTGTTCTTCACTTGGAAAACATCATGGTACTCGGCCCTGCGAGAACAACTTCAATGGCGTGGTCTCCAACAGAGTGTCCCGACAAGCCAAGGGGTAGGGTTGGAGATTGGAACTACAGCAGTACGACTGCTGTTGTAGCCTATCAGTGTTTACTGCAGACTGCGCCCGCCTCCTGATGATGCCAATTTCTTGGAATCGGTGTCCACGGCGGCATCCAAATTGTGGAATAACAAGGCAGAGGTTTTTGCACATGGAAGTAGCGGAACGACCTACCCAAACATTCCAAGAGCTGCAGTGTATTTCCTGGAGTACATGCTGCATGCAGGCGTCCGCCCAAATTACCAGGCTCTCGGCATCTCGGTATATTGTACTTGAGTAGAATAGTACTCGGGACGAAAAGGGGAGAAGCGAACACATCTTTCCCTCGCCGCGGGAGATGCTGGTTTTCAGACGCCGTGCCTCCCTGAATCGCGATTGCTGTGCCGATCGCTTCTAGGTAGGCTTCGGTAGCTTGCCATCTGCTCTCCCTCGTGTCAAGGGGCTGCTGCCCTCTGTACATTGTAGCAGCAGGACACACGATCTTGACACACGGGTACACAGCAGTAAACTGGTACAGAACAACTGCTGTGTGCTGTATGCGGGGGAACCAGGCGAGTTCCGCCGCGTTTTCCCCTCTATTGTCTGGTTCTCTGGGTCCTCTACTCTCGACCAATGTACTCTTGCTTTCCTCTTTCCCTCACACTGCACACCTCTCTCGCACGCCTCACCGCGAGTATATGTCCAGACGTTTCAGCTTGCGAAGAGATTCCCGGGACGCCCCATTGCCTGCACTGCTGCTGCCTTCATCACGACTTGCCGTAGTCACCCGTCGCTTCATCTCTGCTCAATCGCTGTGGTGGTGTGTGCTTTGGGTAGGAAGACTCCTTTGGATACAAACACTGCTGTGTCCAGCGTTCGAGTCGGAGAGAGAGAGCGTGCTAGGTAAGGCGCAATCTCGGGATGTGGATCCACAGCAGCTGATCATGTGCATCGCCTGCAATGGGACATCTAAAACACACACATGTTCTCTCGAGCAGCCAGCGCAAAGGAGTTGAGGTTTGCGGGGGTTCCGCGATTTTTTTCATTTCGGCAGCACCGCACCTGCGCACCTCTGCTGTGTCGCGCTGCTCTTTGTGTTCCGGTGTTCCGAAGCCAGGAAGCACAGCACAAGGAAGATGCATTGACAAGGGGAGTCGGACCTCTTCTATCACTCTGCTGTTTCTGTTTCACATGGAAGGAAAGGCAGAAGATGGTTACATTGTAGGCGTCTCTCCCCGGAGCACGCCGCCCTCAAGCCGAAAGACCCTTACCCAGCTCGTCCAAGAAGAGCGGTTGGGCTCCCTCAAGTACCTCATCACGTCAAGCCCGCCCTCTCGCAACAGCAACAGCAGCAGCAGCAGCAGCAGACCTCGAGCCGCTGCTGCACCTACTCCAGGCCGAGGTACCTCTACCACCCCCGCGAGCGGGCCGAACAGGGGGACCAGGCACTCGCGAAGGTCTTCGAGGGGGAACAACGAGGAAGCGTCCGCGGCTGATTCGGTTTCCCGGAGGCGAGGGCTCTTCTCCTCCATCACGAACGCGTCCTCTGACGACAGGTGTGGGTGGGTTGGGAATTGTGCCGAGAGTTAGGTTGCGTTTGGGGTACAGCAGTGGCAGCTGGCAGGGTGCTTCACAGTCAGGGCAGTCGATGCTCGGCTCTTCTGTAGATATTTCACGGGTTGAATCGACGATAACCAGACCACGATTGCACATGCCGGCGACAAGCAAGATATGGCGGGAAGGGTGATTGTACACTCTACTACATCATACCACCTAATTGTGCGCAACGTATGCATACTGCTGTAGTTGAGTACAACAGTCGCCACATCGACACGGTTGTGTCCACCTGCGGCAGGACAGCACTCGGCCGCAAGAATGCCTCTCTCTCTCTCTCTCTCTCTCTCGCTTTTGAGGCCTTGCTGATATTAGGCCAAGCTAAAGCTGCCTGTCGGTGGGATTCAGTTGGCGGCGTACCTCCAATGTAGCAAGTCACCTTTAGCCACGTATAAAAGCGAGGGTACGCCGCAGCCATCAGAATATTTTTGATGCTCACCAGTGTCTCACAACTTCGTCGACGGAGAAAAATGATGCACCACCATAGGATCGCCAGCCTACTACTTCTAGATGTAGCCCTCCTCGATCTCGCGAACAGAGAGGCATGCACACACTACAAAAAGTTTACCGTGTGTGCATGGAACCGCAGCAGCAGTCCTTCATAGACAACTGCCCACAGCATAACCGGTCTACTCACGGCAATGACCCTGTTGAATATTTTCCCGCTTTTCCCTCGGCTGGACTGTAGTCTACAATGTATTTATCCCGAACGTATGCATACGGCATAAGGTAGTCTTTCTGTGTCCGTGTCTCTTGTTCCTAATAAGACCAAGGCCTCAATCCTCATCGGTGCCCAGAAGTGGCCGTCGACAGCCGTGCGGCGACAACGGCAAGGGCAAGCCCAGCTACGACGACGTGTACCGCCTATCCATCGGCACCCTCGAACGAGCTCCGGCCGTGGGCAGCAGCAGCAGCAGCAGCAGCAGCAGCCAACAAATCAGCAGCAGCAGCAGCAGCCAACAAATCAACATCAGTTCTTCAGCATGGGCGGGGCAGATGGGACGCCGGTGGTGGCCTGGATCGGAAAGATCGGCGTCGGAACGAGGTACAGCAGTATTCCCGGTCGACGAGCTTCTTTAAATGACGTGTTTTTCTTCTGTTTCGCGGTCGGTTTCTTGCAAGGGTTGTGATCGACTACTGTCCAGCGTGCTCTCGTCCTAATATAGTAATGTGTAGCGTTGTCAAGCTTTGCTCTCCTGCCGTTCGCATTTTGTAGATATTTCAGATGAACTTGCGGCAGGGACTCCCCCCCTCCCTCCCCATGGGATATACAGGCCGTTGTTTCGGGTATACGAGTAAGGTGCGAGTGCGTCGGAGATCATGAGGCAGCTGGCTGATGCTTTAATCCTACACCAACTGCGCGTAGGGATAGTCTTGCGCGTAGGAATAGTCCAATTCGTAGGGTTGGGTACTGAAGTATATTGGCTGCTGACGCAGCCAGTATACCGGATCCGATCAGTACACTGGTGACGCGGCTTCGCCGCGCGGCCGCGGCGCAGCCGCGACCATCGGCCCCCTCCGGCTGGTGAGGGGGCCCCGCCGGAGGCGCTTTTTTACGCGATTTGGCTTCACTAGACCACAACAAATGAGTGATTTTGGCCCATCCGACAGAGGCACTATAGCGGGGAAAACGATAGAAATTTCGAGTTCAACAACTGAATTTGTTGGTTTTCAACACACAGAACGGGCCCGGAGATAAGAAACGTCAAAATCGGGTCGAGCCTCAATTTCTTATTTTCGTCCGAAGGACCAGACAAAGTCGGCCAACTTCTCAAAACGGATTTCTCAATTCCTTGGGGCTGCCGCATCATCCTGCTGCTCTTATTTTCGTGTTTCTGGGCATGAAACCTACAACACACCAACCCTTTTTATGCAAAAATTTCAATCGACAGCTCGGTGGTGGCCAGCATTGATTGGGATTGTCACCCTCCTGGACTTCCTGCCTCTCGTGATTTGTGGCAGTACAGCAGTACAACAGCAGTGGGTACCGCAGCCCGCGGGTGCGGGGGGCCGGGGGGCGACCCGAAATAACCACTCTCCCCCCCTAACAAAAAATTACATGATGAGCTAGCATTGGTAGTGGTGGGGGCTGGCAGCACCATGGGAGGTTTCCCATTGAACACGCTTCCTCAGCTATCCGTTGTTTGTTTTGGCCTCGGGGTATCGCACGATCATGTTTCTTATTGGGACGTGTCTGAAGTCGTGGCCGAGTTTGAGCTGAGCTTCTTAGCCCTTTTTTCTTATCTTCGCAAACGTTTGAGCTCATGTTTCTGAACATTTTTTTTCTTATTTGCGGGCCCGTTCTGTAAGGAAATATTTAGCTAGAAAAATTGAAATGTTATTCCCAAGCAACCAAGTGACATCCATCAGTTGGGTTGATGAGCGACGCTCTCGTATACTGGACTCTACAGCCCCTCTCTCGCAGAAACACGAAGGACTCTACGAAGGACACAACGACACGACAGCCCTGAACGTAACCAAGAAACCAGCTAAGAGCTAAAAAGCTACAAAGGAAACGACTAGTCTATCTACTAGTCTACCTTGAAACGACAGGATAAGTCGCGCAACAAATGAACCACCAGCTTGAAAGAATGCTCAAGTAGTAGATAAGGACAGCGCCAAGGTATTTGGACTGCTGTGTGGCTGTGCCTCGCTCAGAGGCGGCGTGAATAGATGGGTTTCCGCTGGTTCTTGAGGTCTATTATTGAGGAAATCTGCGATTATTTGAATGTACTGGAGTACTGGCTGGTAACGCAGCCAGTGCACATGCACTGCTAGTGCATGTGCACTGGCAGCACGTACTGGTTCAGTACCCAACCCTTTTAATTCGCTTGATTATATGCGGTCGAGAGGACGATGACGCGTACATGTACACGAGTCCGATCGTGCTGAAGCGCCGCTCTTGTACGAATAGATGTATGTCCATCAGCGGCTTGCAAGTGGTATTCCTTAAAATATTACAGGCGCAAGTGTCGCACGCATATCTAAGCTGATTTTGTTGGTTGTACTCCCGCTCCCGCTGCTACTGCTGCCGCCTTTTCCCGGCATGCTTGTGCGAAAGGAGCGGAGGGGCGCGCGGCCCAGCAAGCGAAGGAGGCCGGGCTGGTGTCCGCGGGCGGGGCATCGACTAGAAGGTCGTCAGGCGGTGGTAGTTCCAGCCGCAGAGCTAGCAGCGGTGGTGTCGACGGTGATAGCGGTGGTGGTGTAGGCACCCTGAGCAGCGGCGATGGCAACAATTCGTTTTTCGGTCACGGGGACGAAGCCGAAGATGACGAGGACGATAGTGACGACTGCGACGGGGCTACCTCCCAACGAAAACGGCTGCAGCACGGGTGCTGCCTTTGTGTCGGCGTGGCGTGGACGGCCGCGCTTCTCCTTTGCCTCGCAAGCGGGGGGTCCACCGCGTGGGGGCGCGGCGAGGCCTTGGAGGCGGCAGCCGCCTGCGCCTTGCTCGGGGCCGCGGTGCTCGCGGCGATAGCGTTGTGCTTAGGGCTGCCGACGTGGTCGCGGAACGAAGACATGGACAGCGAGTGGTGCTGCTGCTGGTTGTGGAGGAGGGGGGCCGACGAAACGGACGACGAGGGGGGTAAGCTGGCGCACGTCGGCGGGGTAACGTACCTGGCGATCTAATGGCTCATCATGCGATCTTGTTCCACTCAACGCTTACACTCGGAAAGCGGGAAAGGTTGGACGTGCCGGTGCTTGGCGGGGCGCCGCCGTTTTCAAAAGGTTTTAGTTTGGTTTGGAATGCGTGAAGCGCTTGGCGTTAAGGGCTACCGGTTGCATTTGACAGCGGGGTTCGAATCGCGCACATCATGTAATACAGTTTTTTCCCACTATCAGTTTGTGTTCTTTCAATTGGAACAAAGAACACAACGTATTGACGCTTCCGCAAAAGAGGGGCGTGTGTTGCCTAGAGCAGCTTGCGTCGGTTGACAAGTTCACTTTTCCTAACTAGGCGAAGTTTGTAGATGTTGTTTCCCATACGGGATGCAACGTAACATCTGTACGTGTTGGGCATTGTGTCGTCGTCGTCTTGGAGCAGCCGTTACTTTCTTTCTCTTGTAGTGGTGTGGCAGGCTTTCCGGTATCAAGCTGGAGTACGTAGCTGGAGGTGACACGGTCCTGAAGACGTTCAACGGGAGTGGGTAAGCTGGAGTTTTGCCTGTTTTGGCACCGTTTGCCACTCGTCGTGCACGTTGCATGGAACACGGTACGGAGGCAATGCCCCCTGACGGCCTGTCGAAGGTTCGGTACATCACTTGACCGGTTGTTTATTTGTGCACCATTGTACGTGCGTTTTCCGCTTCAGCTCGGCGACTTCTTTAGACTAGAATCTCTAGGCTTCTTTGGCACAAGGGGGCGAACGACCCGACATTCTTCTACATAGCATGGGACGAACCGTGGCGTGGATATTTACATATTGCACATACACCTGAAATGTAATGATATACTGAGGGAAAGAGTGGACGAATGCCACCTGACACGGGTGGACCCATGTTGGTCTTAGATTTCGTGGGAGTTTCATTGGAACAGCATGGCTATGTATTGGGTGATTACGTTCTTCACCTCTTGGCGTTTTTCGCTTTGAATGGTTTGCGGGGACATGTGCAAGGGTGATTTGTGCTTTGTAGCGTCTGTTTTTTGTGTTTGCTCGAGGGCGGAGGCTTGAGCTCCCCCCCACGATCGAATCTCAGCGTTTGTTGTGACGTGTGCTGGAACGGTTCTGGACTTGCATCCATGTGCTGGGTATGGTGTTTCGAAAAACAAAGGGTATCTACGTGTGTGTGTGTACTATTGTAGGGCGCCGAGCGAGGCGTTGGTTGACGTACACCCATTGTTGACTTCGGATGTCGTTGTCGTTGTTTTGGTCTTTGTCCGAGAGACAGACCAACTCACTGACTCTGCTGCTGTACTCTGTACCCCGGTTCGAGTTCCATCTGTTGTTTCCCCTTATTTCCTCTTGCGGATGCTTGGGTTTAAGTCCGAAACGGCGCGGCAAGTATTTCCAGCGCCTTCCGTGGTGCGAGAAGTAGTAGCAGACACATATGTTGCCGTCTGCCGTCCCATGATACAGTAGTTTTTTTGTGTCTGGAATCGGATTGTTCGCTAGTGCTACTGTAGCACGCACTCCTGGTTTTTGTTATGGCATTATGGCATATTCTTCTCTAGACTGTACGCTTTTTTTGGGCTAGCTTGTCGCCACGGGCACTCGTTTGTTTGCACTCTCAAGGGCAGAGAGAGAGAGAGGATCAACTCGATTGTGAAGGTCAGGGAGGGATGTTTTGAATGTATGACGGAAATAACGACCACTCAACCAAGCCCACTCATCATGTTCATCATGTACAATGTAGTTATCGTGTTCTATGCTCTTGTTTTCAAGTCCGCAGTGTTGACACGGTTCTCAATCGACCACTGAGAGTGCGGCACCTGGTTTCCCTCTCGTAAGACTAGAACCTCGCGGTAAGGCAGACACCGCAGTGCTCCCGTTGAAGGAGCGGGGGGAAAATGCGAGAACGAGGTCGCCGTGAGCGCCCCTCACGAAGACGGCGTGCCCAAACGACGTCAACGTTGGTCGCGATTAACGATTGATGTTTTCGGTTTAAGGCAGTGCCTCAGCTGGTGGTTCGTTCCAGGGTGCATGTGTGACCTGGAAAGCGTCCTGCTGTCTGCGGCCCTTGTTTTAATCGCTAGGACGGGCGGACAGGGGTTTCAAAGCCACTCCGATGTTGCAAGTTTAACCTGGCCGTGTCGCCCGCAACTACTTGAATGCATGACGGGGCGATTTTTCGGAAGAGATTCGCCACGAAAAGCATGTGCGGGAGGGGAGGGCACCTACTTATGTGATATGGGCCGAGGCTCAGAGTACCTGCACACGCGTTTGGCGGTTTCGCGTGTAGCACCCTCTCAATTCCAGTGGGCACGAAAAATGTTGCTGGCTGAAAGTGCGTCAGTGACGGATAACATAGACTATTTCTATGTCGTTGACAGGGACTGAAAGACGACGTTGCCGCCTGTGGAGGCCTGACGTAAATACCTGCGATTTGTTCACCTGCAGTGTTGACCCAAGAGTTCTGTACACATCGATTGTGAAGTGTACACAAGTGAAGGTGGCTTGATCGGGTGCACCTACAAAGCACCTCAAGCACTTCACGTGACGTGCGCCATCATTTTCTTGCCCGAGAAAAAGTGGCGTGGTTATTCCTGAATCCCCGACGAACGAAACATTTCTGAGACAGACGTTTTTGAAGGGGTGCTGTTACCACCCACACGTTACGCACAAGTTCAAATGTATTGCAAATATTAGTATTTACCAGGTATGATACCTATATCTAGACATCCTATCCCACCGATTGTTTTGGGGCGTATGAAATAACCACCGAAGAGTTTTCATGCACAGACTAATAGGCAGCCAAGGGGTAGCTTAGACTTGTGTGGGTTGGGTTTGTGTGGGATAGTTTTGGTGGTGGGTCTTATCCTACTTCCTGCAATATGATTCGTCGGTATGTTCACAATACAATGTATACATAGCTGTGCATATGTTTGTTGTTGTTGTTGTTGTTGTTTCTCACATTAGCTCTATAGGCTAGTAGCCCACAAAAAATGGTGAGCCCGTGGTCTCAAAACCCGGCACATACGACGCCGCGGGGAAACAAAACAAAAATAGGGTACAAACCACTCGGAAAAAGAAAATACGTGTGTCAGTGTCTCTCCCCCACTCTCTGCCGCCACCCACCACCCACATTGTCTGGAATGCGACATACCAGATATATATATATAGAGTAAGGACGGGTATTAAGGACCCCTTAAGGCACCCCCCACTTAGGCAGCTTGTTCTCTGGTTTCAAGATGATTCATGAAGAGATCAAGGTATCATACGATAGCCTATAACATAGACTACATGACAAAGAAAGAAAAATTGAAAAAAGTGAAGTTGGCGAGTATAGATAGACCTTGAAGTATACCTCACGTTCTAGGTAAAATTTGGGTCAAAAGGAGGGGGGGGGGTATTAAGGACCACTTTCCGGTAGTGGCCGGATACGCACGTTCTAAAGCGTTCCACGACCTGAAATTTGGTACACAGGCTCTTAGTATGACGTATGTTCGATACAAAAACAATAAAATAAAATGGTGCACACCCGGGGACAAAATGCCCATATCCCCGGTTTTTCGGCCCAGTTTTGAGGAACGGAATATACCCCTTTTGGGTGGTACTGCGTGTTCTCTTGCCTTGAAACCATGCAAACGTAGTAA